ACTACCATCACTGGCGTCGCCTGGCACCTCAGGCACAAACTACCCCTTGGAAAACAGTGCCTCGAACATCGTCTTCAGCACCGGCATCACCATCGGTCCCCCTATCGGGCCGTAAACATGGGCCAAAAGATTTCAGGTTAGGAACACACCTTTCTTCGAACCACGATCGAAATATACGATCAGTAAGAACCACGATGATTTCGGGTGTCTGCGATCGTCGCGAGAGTTCTGGGTGGGTGAGAGGGATCGAGCGTGGGCGTCGAGAACCGGTTCACGCGTCGAAGGTAACTTTGGTTGGATGATACATCGAGAGATTAGGGTTAAATAACTCTTTCGTATAGCTTGTAGGTGAGTTCATGTAGTATCGCAGTATACATAGGAGTTGAGTTTGAGCTACATTTTCGGATGCTGCATTCGTCAACCGCATAAATCGAAACATGTAAAAAGTTCGATGATTGTGTAAGAATTGTTTGTTTGTTTTTTTTTTTTTTTATTAATTTACTTTAGAATTTACCATTATTCATCTTCTCTAACTCGTGAAAGTAAGTTGTTCGTTTCTTGAAAATTGAAGATTAAATCGTGTACTTATATAACGAGATTATGAAATTACGGAAAGGCGAGTTGCATCGGTTTAATTTCCGAAAGGCTCGTTCGTTGATTAAAATAGCATATGGGGTAGAGTAATATCGTAAAGTTCAGATTATCTGGGACAAGCAGATAGTTTAGGTACCTATTATTGTTTGAAGATACGTATATGTTTAGTAGGTTTAGTAGCTTTCCAACGCAGCAGCGTTATATGATGCAATACAGCGTCGAGACCGAGTCTAAGAGGTTGATTCACCTCGTCGGACTTCGTCCAGGGTCAAGGCCTTTGACCGCTCTCGATTTTACCTACCTGCTCTCAGGTAGAAGCTCGAACAGGTCCTCGAGACCGAGATTCTATCCTCTGGCGAAGCCCGGTGTGTATAAAATACCAAGCTGAGAGGAGAGTTCAACACAGCAGCACACAGTCGTTTGATAAATTTTTAATACCGCGAAACAAAAAGTTTGCTGATTAAACTTAACTCGTTGAAAGTTAGCATTCGAACGGTTCTCCTCCTATCTTTTTTTTTTTTTTTTTTATCAAACATCCAAGCATTCTCTTTATATCCCGATCGTAAAGATGTCCAAAATGTAAATTTCAATTCGTTCGCGGGAGCTTTGCCAATAAAACCTACATTACGAAACACGAACTACGCGCTACTACGAACCACAACTCTGTAATTATCCAGCTGGTATAAATATCCTAGATAATTAGCCAATTAAATTTCCGATTCTGATTAAAAGGATGGCCGGACCGTTAAAAGAAAAATCTCACGGAGACCGTTTGTCGCCATGAATCAATTCCATAGATCGTGTAGAGCTTGCCATCGCGCGTCCCTCTGTCATGATTTACACTGGCCATTTGCTCGCTTCCGGAGATTCATTCTATGTCTCGGTGGCGCGATCGTGCAACGACCCTCTCTCGCTGCGTCCGCCCGAGCCTGGCCGCGCTTGTCTTTTCGGGAAATTTGTCGCCCTCGACCGCAGCCAATTCGCAGCTCAGCTGCACCCGTGAAATTTACGAGGCAAGTATACATGGCAGTGAGCTGTGTGACACGGCGAGGGCTACTGTTGGTATCTCGTGGAGTGGAGGGAAAAACTCAGCAGTAGCCAGGTCCAGGGTGTCTCGTTGTCTCGGGGCAACAACGAAAAAGAGACAAAAAGAAGATGTACGCGACGAACTCGCCGAACCTCGAAGAAGAGAAAGAGAGCCGAAAGGTCGTCTGGAGCCGGATACACGCAAGTTCGTGAAAGGGCCTTTCTATCAGTACCCCTCGGCTTTTTGGCCACAAGTGGAAGCAAGATGGACGTGTAGACCCTTTGAAATTCTCGCGTTCCTTTCCAGAACCCTCGTTTCAGAACCCTCGAACGCGCGCACCAGCTAGGGAACAGCTGCCAGAGCAAATAAACCAGCATCCAAGGATATCGTTCTCTCGAGGCTAGAGACCAAACGCGGGAAAGAGAGGGCGAACTTTCGAAAAACCTTGAGCGAGGTCTGCTGATCCTGCCGGACGAGGTCCCTTCATTATTTTTCTTCCAGTCTTTTTTCCCTCGTTCCCCGGCAAATCTACCCGGTGCTGGCAGCACAGGTATCTCCGGAATACCGCGCCACGAGAATCCCACGGACGCGCCCTGAATTATTAACGACCCCGTGGAAATTTAGCCCGCGTGGAATTTCAGTGACGATCTTCTTTTCATTCGACGTATCCGGCTGATCGATGATCGTACGACATTCTGCCTCTTAACACTTAGCTAAACGCGCGCGCCACACCGAGTTGTACGGTTGCACCGCGTTCGGACAGCCAACCTGTCGATCGCGCATTTTTCCAAGTATCGAGGACTAATATCCACTACTTAAAAAACAAATTGTATTTCTCGGTAATGATTTTATTTAAAGATTTCATGTATTGTTTATGCAAAACATTAAAATAAAAGTATATATTAAAAGTATGGCAAAAATATAGGCACAATTACAAACGTTTTAAAGATGATTTAAAGATAAATAAGACGACTTAAACGTGAAATTAAAAATTCATAATACGTTTTAATATTTTCTTACCAGTAGATGTTTATATGAAGAGGACGTTGATACGTGAGGTTTAATGACGAGATTGCTCGTTGTTGTAACCGTCGAATATCTTTAAAATAATAAATTAATATAAAGCCGTATACGCGAGTCGTTAGTACGAAGTATAAATCGCAAATTAAGATAGCGGAATAAATACTCGTAGAATGCTCGTCGCGTAACTCGATAGACGCTCGTAAGATACTCGAAAATACTCTAGATATCGTTAAATACTCGATATGTGCTGTCGCTCGCGATCGCATCCGTGTACTTAACTAGTCAGGGGATAATGGAAAAATTCAAATTCGTCTTCATTCGACGGTTGCTTGTAGCGGCGACATTGTTTTGCCCGGTGTCTATTTGTTGTTACACTACTCGTAACCTAGCGATCTTGATACTCCGAGGCAAAACAACAACATGATTTGAATAGTCTTAATAGTCTTAAATGGACTTATGTGCCGCTACATACCGTTCGATTATAACTTTATCTAGTCATAACTGATAGTGTTACTTTTTAATTAATTTTGACACCACTATATCGATGTATTTTATTATATATACTGTACTTTATAACCAGTTAATTGGAAACAATTCCAAGTAAACAATAACTAGTAACAAACAAAAATAATAACAACAAGAAAACAAAAACGCGTTCTATAAGTCGAAAAAGAAGATCTTCCCGTTCGATCACGCAGCGATATACTTTACAGATCGGTTGGCTAAGCGTTAACAGGCGATTCGAATGTTAAATGAAATCGTTTTATTAAAATCCTTTACGGGATTAGAATCGCGTTAAGTGTCAAGGTATTATAGAATATAACGTATAGAATATGATACGAAATGAACGACTAACGGATCTTTTTATTTTTATTTTTTCAGGCGGTGTGAAAAGCGTGACACGTGAGGCTGCAGCTGGATCTGTTGGTGGAGTTGGCGTCGGCGGTGGCGGCGTCGTAGCGTACAAACCCGTGGTACCAAGAGAGCTGGCGCAACACTTTGCGAGGCCACCGCGGCTCGATGTCCTGCTCGACATGCCACCCGCCTCGCGGGAGACGCAGATTCATCATAGCTGGAACGCCAACGACCGTAGCCTCAACATATTCGTTAAGGTATATATCTCAAGAATGCACACGGTGAACTTGGAGTACTCGCTACAATCTTTCGTTTTCCCGTTCTTTCAAAATCCCTTCGTTCTTTACTGTTTGTAAATTTAATTTGACGCGTTGTTTTTTTTTTTTAAATATATCCATTATTCCGTTGTATTACGTTTCTAAAGTTTCCTTCTACGTCTCTACACTGACAAGCAAGCTATACGCTTCAACCGCGTATTTTTCCAAGTATCGAGGACTGATATTCGCTACTTAAGAAACAAAGAGGGCTAAAAATCGTTTAAGTCAATTCTTTTTTGAGGTAACGATTTTATTTAACAATTTCATACACTGTTTATACAAAACATCGAGTTGTACGATAAAATATTAAAAGTATACAAAAATATAGGTAAATTATAACATAGTATCTTTCTACAGATTTATTACGTGCAATTGTACTGTATGTGTTATTGGTGAATGATTTCTGTTTCAGGACGATGACAAATTAACGTTTCACCGACACCCAGTGGCTCAAAGCACAGATTGCATAAGGGGGAGGGTAGGATACACGAAAGGTATGCATGTCTGGGAACTGTTCTGGAGCACGAGGCAAAGAGGCACGCACGCCGTAGTGGGCGTCGCGACGGCAGAGGCACCTCTTCACAGCGTCGGATACCAGAGCCTGGTTGGCAATAACGAACAAAGTTGGGGTTGGGATCTCGGTAGAAACAAGCTTTTGCACGACTCGAAGAACAATGCCGGTGTCACGTACCCGGCTCTACTTAAACCCGACGAAACGTTCATTGTTCCTGACAAATTCCTCGGTAAGTAATGTTATAATTTCACGAAATATCAATAACTTTTGTAACACGTACTGATAAAAATTTCTTTTTCAGTGGTCTTGGACATGGACGAAGGTACGTTAGCTTTCGTTGTGGATGGTCAATACCTTGGAATCGCATTCAAAGGCCTTAAAGGCAAAAAGCTGCATCCTATTGTATCCGCTGTATGGGGACACTGTGAGATCACGATGAAGTACATCGGTGGACTTGATCGTAAGTAACGATAGAATCATTAAACGTTCAAATAATATCTTATATGTACGTTTAAAATTAACGAAGTAATAATGTAATTCGTAATTGTTTCAGCTGAACCATTGCCTTTGATGGATCTTTGTCGAAGAGTGATTCGAAAACGAATCGGCAAGGATAAGATAGACGAGAAAGTGAACGCGCTGAGCTTGCCGTTAGCGGTGAAGACTTATCTCCTGTATCGTGACAGGAGGTAACTACCGAGTGCTAGCTCCGAAACCACTACCACCACGATTACGACTGTGAACACCACCGCCCTATTGAATCATTGCCACCACGACGCACAGGGGAACGCCCGCTACCCCGTCGCAAGCCACCGAACGCACCAGCCCATAAGCCGCTTGTACGATCCATGGTGTTTGTATCCATGTAAGGATAAGTCGAGACGAGCACGATCAACGTGGTCGCGTACGTCGTCGTCGTCGTCGTCGTCGTCGTCGTCGTCGTCGTCATCGTCGTCGTCTTCGTCTTCGTCTACGTCTACGTCTACGTCTACGTCATCCTCATCATCATCGTTGGCATGATATTTGTCACCATTATCATATGTTCATCATTGTCGTTGTCATAGTCGTTGTTAATCTGATCGTTATCGTCGTTGTCGTTCCCGCATACAATCGGACGAAGCTACATGAAAAAAAAAACAAGAAAATCGGACGCGCAGACGGGACACATACGCGAACCGTATCAGGTCTAGCGAATTATTTAGATAATATTGTTGTCTTGTGTTAACGTCGATATGATTAAAATCGTGAAGGAGTCTTTATTAATTGTTAATAATGAAAAAGTGACGTACGATGCAGTTGAATAGCTTTCCGAGCACATCGCTCGACGCTGTTATTTTTTCACTTTATTTTCTTTTTCTTTTCTTTTTTTTTTTGTAGTCCTTTAAGTTGTCGCGTTACTAGAACGTTCTGCGTCTGACGAAGAAGATGCAAGGTGAGAAATCGAGGACCTGAGTGTGAGGATGAGAATACATACACGTGCGGCTCGGTCAAGTGGAAAAATCAATAGAAAAAAATGAGCACAAGGAAAATAGTTCTTCACACAGTTGGCCAGTAAAACGTTTAGTCGAGTCTAAAGGCTGATACGGATAACGTTTCGGTTATTAGTCAACGATGGGTAGCGGGCTTGTTCTAGTCCGGGCACACTGCGCTAATAGAAAACGAGAAGACAATGGGATAGAAACATACATTTGCTTCACAACTTGAGCGAAGAAAAAATCGACGAAACTTCAAGTAGATGTCACTATGCGGACAGTTGTTGCTCACACGGCTATCGAAAAAGAAAATGTGTGTATAGTGACGAAGATGCCAGTCGATTGAACAGCCACCTTCCAATAGACTCATTTTTCAAATATTTTCTAAGCATGCTAAGTCTAATAAAATATAGTGGTGTACATGGTTCGTGGATGGACACGAGAAAAACAAAAGAGAATTTTAAGAAATATATATATATATATGCATATATATATATATATATATATATATATGTATATATATATATATATATATATATATATATGTATATATATATATGTATATATATATATATATATGCGATTTAATGAGTAACACGCCTCTGATTGTTCTGTGTATTTCATCTTATTTTGTTGTTCGTTTAGTTAGAAAAAGCCCTTAAAGAAAGCATACGTATCACAGTTAGAAATTATCACTAAATGACGTTTGAGCAGAACTCTACGAACAAAGGAGCCATAAAAATTTATAGCATTATACGAACATCGATCATTTGAAGATGTTTTAACGAAACTGGATGAAGAGAAAAGCGATAGACAGCAGTAACTTACCGCGATTAAGTTAATCGAAGTAAAAAAAAAAGCAAGAAGAGAACGAAGAAGATTAGGTGTACGTAGTTAAACGTTTAGGGCGAGCGAACGAACACGGTCATATTACGGCTGAGTATATTCCAAACACGAATTAAAACTGACTGGGAGAGTGAAAAAGAGAGAAAAAGAACTGCTGCGGCACTAGTGTGTGAATGTTATGTTTATGATACAATGCAAATCATGCCGACGATCCTGAAAATATAATCGCGATGACGATGACGGCCATGAATGAATTGCGATGATAGTAAAAAATTCTATCGGGCGTGTTGCTACCTATACTATTAGCATGACAAATTATGACTGGTCCCTAGTAACTCTAATCTTACGTTTAATCTTACGTTTGTCGCTTAAGTTTAATCATAATGTGCCGTTTATCGGCGATGTCGATTTGTACATAGGATATAATTATAATAATGATAACAATAATAATAATAATATCTATCGGTACGACAATGAATGTATTGTGGGTAGTGATTGTATCAAAGACCGTAAGGACGAACCGAATGCGAGAAAAGAAAAGAAAAGAAAAAAAAGGAAAGATAAGAAAATATAAGCAGGATCCTCTCGTGTGAAAAAAAGAGAACGCAAAGGCAAAACTGTCGATGAAAACACTTTTCTCCTTTTGATCACGAAGATACCATTTTCTTCTGTTTATTTCATTTCCTTATATTTCTTTTAAATTCTTTAGATTTCTTTACATTTTCTTTATACTTTCTACAAACGAAATAAGATTTCTTGCTGATACCACGCATTGTTGTTCATTCCCGTCGAAAGCGAATTCCTTCGTGGAACTCGTCTTACAAGAACGCGTCTTCCAGATTGTCTGGCCGAACATACAGTTACACCTTTCAGAAGAAAAGGACTGCCATTCTTTTTCTTCTAACGAGTGAAAACTTTTATACCATAGATCATGGCCACATTTGTTTAACGACCCACCGAGTTCATCGATATATCGCCAACTGAAGGTTTCAATGACACGCACGATCTCGCAATCGGCAGCCACTGCGTCGTGATCTTGCGGTCCTCAATACGCACACCCAAACCACTGTCTGTTAGAGCAACGTTCACCCTTACTATCTTTGCTCGATTTTCCGCTCGGTCGAGATCACTCGTCGAGCTACGGAAAACGCATCAAGAAAAATGAAAAAAAAAATTTAAAAGATTCGTGACGAAGGAAGAAAAGGAAAGAAAAGTGAATGCTCGTCACGAACATTCGAAATTATAGCTAGTGCAAGATCGCACACCGTGTGTGTCGCGTGTTGTACGATCGCGCAGCGGTAGAAGAATTTACCAAGATCATAGTGACTTGACGTCTTTGTCGTGAACGAGAAAACCTGCGTCTCGTTTGTAAGAATAAGGGGATGAAAAAAAATAAATAACAGGACAGTTGTCTCGAGTACGGCGTGGTCGGAAATACACACCGTTCGTCGAAAACTTCTGCCACGTTTGTAAGAATAAAAGAGATGAAGGAAAATAGATAAGAGGACGGTTCTCTGGAGCGCGGCGTGGCCGGAAATACACACCGCTCGTCGAAAACCTCAACCTAGTTTGTAAGAATAAAAGAGATGAAAGAAAATAGATAAGAAGATGGTTCTCTCGAGCACGGCGTGGACGTCGTGCGTGTTGTCTCATATGCGTGAAACAAATGTCTCCGGATGGAAGTAAACAGAGCACACAAATAACGAGCAAAACAAATGAAATTGTATAAGGTAAACCACATATAGAAGAGAAGAGTCAAAAAAGGAGTCGTCGACAACGCAAAGAGAGAGAGAGAGAGAGAGAGGAAAAGGAAAGATTCACACACGCGCAGAGAAAATATTTTCTTTTTTCCCAGGAGTAATACTCTCCTCTGACTTCGTGTTGTACCTATTCTTTATCAACTATTTTCTATATAAACCAACGGATGATTTCGTTTTCTCTTTATGCGCGTGTCACGCTCCAAGCTAGAGACAGGTCAAAAAAGAAGGTAATAGCGTTTAGCAAGAATGTTGTATATATTATTGATTAATGATTAATATTAATATTATTATTGTATCGGCTCGATAGTTTAATTGATTAATCAATTATATCGTGGTAGTCGGCATAATTGTGGATTCAGTTTTTGTACGGTAGGAGAAACGATCTACTTAATGCGATCGATCGATCGACAAGCATTAGATTGAAAAACGGGTAGGTAAGTTCTCTTCGGCACGTCGCTTTACGCTTAGGATTTACTACTCATTTTTAGTTTCTTTTCTTTTTTTTTTTTCCGTATTTCGCGTTCGAGCGACGATGCTTTCGGGATAAATCACAGAGACTTCCTATTATTTAAATCGCATCGTAGATTTAACGAAAGATTATGAATTATACCGAATAAAGCAAAATAAAAAGTGAAGAAACGTGTTTTTATACCGGTGCGTGTTAGTGTTCTATTGCAACGCGTTTTCTTCTTGCTTTTTTTTTACATATTTCTTTTATCGATAAGCGTATTTTACGTTAATTTCTTTTTTCTACGTTCTAAATTTTAGTAGTCCTTCGTATTTCGACATTCTTGTCCTTATGCATGATTATGCATATTAGACGATACCCTCCGCCAGGTTGATTCAATTTTCTCTTTTTACTTAATTAATACAGTTCGTTTTAAAAAGAAAAGGCATTGGTCGAAATTATTTTATCTATATGCGCTTCGACATAAGGATTGATCGATCGATCCAATGACCCAATGGAATAACTTTCCTTTTAGTATGCGTTAAACTGTACCCGTTCAATTCACAAATAGGACTTCCGTTGATGTTTTATCAACTCAGATGATCGAATTCAAGAACGAACAAAATAATTATCAATAATTTGCACGAAAAACTGATAGCTCGATCGATCGATCGTCCAATGGAATATCTTCACGATCGATAATGGAAACGCGGTAACGTTCTATTCATTTCCGCTGTCGTAGCGGAGGATGTTTGAGAACTACGAGACAGAGGAAAATACAAAAAAAAAAAAAAGATACGAAAAGCGTGGGTGTTTCGAAATATTTTTCGTCAACTGCCTGCTGCCTGCCTGTGCAAACTACGTTGCCTCGACAAATATGTCTAATTTATTGACGATACGATAATTAGCAGGACATTTAAGCTGCGTGCGTGTAAGTGATAGCCGACAAAATAAGATGCTGTGTATGTGTGTATGTACGCGTGTGCGTGTACTTTCGGCCGAGAATGAGTGTGAAAGAAGCGAGTAAACTGAAGGGTGTGTGAGTGTGAATGAATGAAAGAAAGCCGGAACAAGGAATGAACGCGCATCTGGCACCGGATGGTCTTCGACGGAATATTCGTTCCTTTCCCCTTCTATCTGTACGTTGGCGAAAAAAAAGCAATTTTAATGGCCATTCAAAAAATTTATCCGAGTCTCATAAATATCGAAATAAACACAACTAAAATGAAGTTGGTTGCGTGGAAAAGGCGAAAGAACGCGATACGTACGAAGACCACTTCCGGCCCGATTTACAAGCCTGTTTCACATAATGTTCTTTTCTCATGTGTTCTTTTTTTTTTCCTTTGAAGCCTGAACTATTGCAACGAGCGATCTCACGTCTATTTAAGCATAAGTTTACGAGTTTAACATGGTATTGCTGTATAGTGGCGAGTGAACGCGAAGAATTTATAAATATGTAATGCCTTAATGTTATATAACGATAATAATGGAATACCGTTACTGTATAATTAGTGACGCGCAAGGACTGGGGAAAACAATGATCGTGACAGTTAGATAGATCGAAAGGGTGGGTGGTAAGAAAAAAAAATGACGAACGAACGAGCAAACATAAAGAAAGAATATGTGTAACAGACAAAATAACAAAAAGGAGTGTAGTACGTGCGGCCGTTTGTCTCCATTCTGTTCGTGATTTGATATTTTTTTATAATTCCGACGACGAGGGCGAACGATATTAGAGAGAAAGAGAGAGGGAGTGAGTATAAATGGAGCGTGTATAGAGAACGGACTGCTATCTAAAATAGTTCAGGCTAGATGTCGATGTTTGTAGCAGATAAAGAACAAAAAAAAACACAACACAGCATATTGTAATTAAAATTAAAAGTCATTAATACCGTCTGCTTTTTTACTTATCCGTTACTCGCATCCCTGTCTTTATCAATGACCCACGACTTCGAACCCACCTTTGTGCTCGCCTTCCGCTGCACTTGGAAATGAAGCAACTGCGAGGGAATTTCGTTCTTTTCGTTCTCTCCTTACAGCTCGCCTTCTTGTCATTCTTCATCAGGGCATCGATTCGCAACTGCTTCCATTCGCCTGCCACTTCATTTGCGTCCATCTTCGAGATCTTGTTCAAAGGTCTAACAATTTCTCCTTGCACTATCCTTGCACGGAGATTCAGCGTTGTCCAACAAACTCAACGCGTTGGAATCGATGTAATTTTGACTCCATATCCACGCTCGGCATCTTCGAGAATTATGGCCGAGGATGTTCGCTCATCTTGCTGAATTAAATTCATTTTTTGTTTTTTTGTGGAGACGACCTTCGTGGCCACCTCGCGCTCTCCGGGGAGAGCTTCTACTTCTACAGCTACTTTAAACACCTCTGGCAGTCTGTTACAATCTTTGCTGTCTATCTTACGAGTAGAAACGTCTACTTCCTTCACGTTTACTTCCACGGTGTTTAAGTTAAGATGTTGACTGATAGAATAGTTAGTAGCAAGTCCAATTATGTTTGTTAAGGCGATATTTATACTGAACTAGCGATGGGGTGTTGGTTGCTCCGCCAACGGTCGCTCGCGGGTGGAAATGTTCGCTTTTCCCATCGGATCGAACAGTAAACCTAAGGAACTTCTCGACTTGGAGGATGTTTTCAAACAACGAAGTGCCTTAACGGTAAAATATAAATCCTTAATTTTGTAACAGTTTCTCGACCGGGGGATGGGTTTCTTACGCAATTAGCGCGCATTAGCATTAAACTTGCAGTCTCTGAACTTAACATCTCTACAACGTTTCGTGTGTAACAATCGCTACACACTACACTACTATGGTGTAAGTTAAAGGTGACTTACTCAGGTTGTTGGACTTTGATGGGATGTGTCCGTACTCCAGGCAATCGAAACATTTGGTACCTTTGCTCCTCGTTGGACATTTCGCATTTAGATGATTCTTGTTTCCACATAGGAAACATCGTCGCACTGGTTCCCTTGCTGCTTCGTCGCGACTCGTCCTCTTCGATCTTTCTTCAACCCGTTTGGCTTTCGTCTTCGCATTTTCTTTCGTGGCTTCGTACAGGGCAAGCTTCTCTTTTAACTTTGTTCGTCACGAATTCCGTCGATGATGTATTTTATTTTTTATTATATTTTTTATTATATTTTATTACGGACTTTCCACGACTCACTCGCTTCACTATGTCGAACATTTCGTAGACATACTCCTGGTATGTCTCGGTTTTCTTTTTGGCTCGACACCTTGTACGCATCCACTTTTTACTCAAATTCGGTACTCAGCATTTTCTTCGTCGTTTTTCAACTTTTACGACACCTTTCGAAGTGGAACGACAATTTTGCCGAAGCACGTAAAAGCCTCTTCGCGTATATTACGCGCTGTACATCGGTTCAGTAGCAAAGGTCGCATATCTCCTCAAAATCCAACAACCAGCTTTGCACATTGACGTTGTCGACACCACTGAACGTGCTCATGAACTTTGTGACGTTTCTAAATGTTAAAACGTGCTACTGTCGACTCCTACGCGTGTTTTGGACACTTCGCGCACTTCTTCTTCCTCGTTTTCTTTGCCTTTGCCGTGCAACATCTCCAAAGCGATGGCTGCTCTTAGGCGCTCTTTCAATTCTTTCTTTTCACCAATTGTTTTTAATCTTCGTCGCATAAGTTCGTCTTTCGATTTCATTGTTTCGAATCACGTTAGCTTATGGTTAGCAATGCACCTGTCTTCGACATCGGCGATGGTGTTATCCGGATTTTGTTACTCGCTCGTCGTGAAGATGCTTCGACTTCGTTTCAGCTCACTATCGCTACACGAACAGTTCTGCCGAATGTTTCGTTTCCTGTTTTGTCCAATCTTGACCAGTACCGAAAATTTGTAGAAACTTTCACCTTCTCTGGTTAGTGATGTCTGCAGAGTTATTTATTGGAATTTAAGCAGAAAGCAACAGTTACCTTACGCGAACTTTGATTATTACAACTTACGATTCACCTGTAACTACTCGCAACTCCCTCACTACTCACTCGCAACTGTCTCGCTACTCAAGTCATGGCGGAGGTCTTAGTTCCACTGTGCTTTCAACTGACTAACAGTTGTCTTTTATACCACGATTTTGGCATTTCTAGCACAGGGAAGGAGGTGAATTATGATCACGTACACCTTCTTTAATTACTTTGAGTCATGAGAGGCCACAAGTATAGGGCCCATTGAAATTTCCAAATTTTCCCTGTCTGTCGACACTTTTATTACTTCCCATCTGTAGTACATCGGGATTATTCCCAAGGATTTTCTCCGGTATTACGATATTTTAATGAATAGGATAAATTTGTATATCTCTAAGAAGAGGACAAGTTAAGAAGCAAAGGAAGGGAAGAAATATTTTGATAAATCTTTCATCCTAATCTCTTTACTATCCAACACTAAATTTTTTTCTATCAAGATATAATAAATAATAATAAATTTGATCAAAAGTCTCTCGAGGTATTTAACTTTAATCGTATAATTAGTAAAAAAAAAACCTTCTGAATCATTGTTTATTTAACCGTTTTATTAATTTATTTAACTGTTCATTTCTATATCTCATTTAGCATATACGTAAATATATTTCACCGTTAATCCGTAGGAAGTATTTACATTTTGTTTAATAATATATTTCTCGTTTAATAATTGTAAACTGTAACCATTTCAATAAAATTGACCGCTTTCTACGTATCCGTACAAAGTTTATATGACACAAAAGATGACACAGTAACATAGATTACAGTCACTATATCCCTTGGATAATCCGCCAACTGTACGCGGTATCAGGAAAGCTGCGAATAAAAAATAAAACGCATCCCTCTTCTTCTTCTTACTATCGTATGTTTTATTTCTACATGCAACGTACATATTCTGATCGTATTTTAGTTGATCGCGTGTTTCCCTACGATCCTGAGGAAACTTCTTCGTCGCAGCCTCTGTAAAGCACCTCGCACTCCTCACCGCGAACCCCTGCCTCCCCGGCATCCCGTACCAATCGGAACCAGCCAGAAGACGATTTCAAAGATTTCTCCACGCTTCGTCTGAAAGCACACGAACAATCTGAATCAACTTCCTCTGCCTCGCGAAATATCCACAACCGCGGTATTCCTTGCCAAGACAGGAAAGTGAGAAGCATCTTTAACACGCTGAATGCCATCGGTGTATCAAGATTAGTATACAGTAGCCATACATTTTTTATTATTACCGTCGTTATTAGAATGGCGTGAATTCAGTATAAAACATATAAAAATAGTTTTATTTATACATGAAATATAAATTTAGTACGCACAACCCCCAGCAGTGGCTGTCGATCATGGGAAGAGCCGCTTTTAACTTAGCGAACAATGTCGCGGGTTCGAATAAGTATGACTCAGGACATGGATTATAGTTTATGGCAGCTCCCAGGACGTAACGATACGGAACAATTATTTAGCAATGCGAACAAACTATATGAGATAATTCATAATCGCAAAAAATAAGTGGATCGAGCGAAACTGCGTAACAGCGATGCGGAGGTCACCGGTGACCTCGGTGAGATAAATTCATTAAAACGATGATTATACACCGTAACATATCTCTTGTAGGTAATATTTCATCTATTATATGTATCGCATAATAAAAAATTCATCGTGACGCCCTGGCCAAACCTTGTAAAACCGCCGTGGTATTCAACGTGTCGATATTCCTACGGCGTGCAAATGGCATTTCGAGAAATAAGAGTGAGATACGTCGAAGTTCTCCCGGTCCGGATACCACGACTCGCGTTCGTTCGCGTGACGACACTCTGAATATTAAATTTCTACGCCGCTGGAAACTGGCCGCGAAGCAATATCGTCGTGTTCTGGAACTCACGTTAAGTACTTGGCGAGTATCTTGCCGGTAGCGCCGAACGCTTTCGAGAGCTTCCGATTCTCCAAGCACACGGTTCTCTGTATACATCGTACCCTAGCGTCTTCTTCGAGAACGTCTTCCTGTTCCGGTGTCTGAGACCAACATAGCGAGTAAGATAAAGAAATCTGATCGTTAAAACTTTCAACTACCATCTCGTTATAAAGCTATAAGAAAGTTCGCATCGAATTATCGTCGATATAAAGAATACAGAACTTTATTACAGAACGAACCACGGAATGTTTACGCGTCGAATTCTTACCACTGAATCGAAATTGTACGCAGCATACAGCTCTCTTTTTTTCCTGGCAGACAACACGTCCGTCAAAATGTCTCTGCGCTTCGCGTTCACGATCGTGTTCTGAATAACCGCGAACAGCAACAGTAAACCGATGAAGCTGACGATTACGAGCTGCTTCGAAGATGGTCCGAGCGGGTAATCGATCGAGTGCGCTACTGGGTAGCTGAAATGTGGATTATCGTACACGTAAGGCGGCACGTTTTCGCCCCTGTGATGAATAAACGTTCTCTGCGGCGCTGAAAAGCGTAACAACGTTAGCATTTTCCAATATCTATCTACGTCCTCGTCACGATAATTGATTAAAGAAACACGCGAAACGTTACCGAGGAGATAATTATTGACAGGTATAGGTAGAGTGGGAGGACGCGCGAGAAGCTCGGAAGAACGCGTCATATCCGGTCGAAGCGTGGATTCCTCTCTGCTCGGTGATTCCAGGACGGAGCCATTTCCGGAGAACGGAAACACCGTAGTCTTTGTATCTTGAGCGACGATCGACACCGTGAACGCGCTTAATAATGGAAGAGCTTTCGTCGTTACAGGGAACAACATTTTTCCTTTCGCACGAATCTTTTATCCGACGAGTGGCTTTCGCTGTTGCGTTTGTCGTTGGCTTTCGACGAAAAAGGAATGAATTATGATACGCGACTGACGGAGGTTCGATGGCGTTCGGTGGTCTTAAGAAGGTGGAAAAAAGAACAGCTTCGTGACGTAAGCAATTGAAGCAGAAGACACGAGAAGCGAAAAAAAAAGCAGCGGCAATTTCAGAAATTGCGGCCATCATTCGGCCCGCTGAGCTATCCCGCGACTTCACGCAGAAAACGCCATGACTTATCCTCGAAGCGGTGGTTTCTGTAATGGCAGGCGAATAGGCAGAATCTTTTATTCGCGACGTGATTTTATGCTTGGAGAAACTACGTCTACGAGGTAGACATTTCCAAGTTACTTATTCTAAGTAACTTTTCTCTCCTTAAAGTCGAAGAAGAAGAAGAAACGATAACTCGGGAGAGAGAAAGCACAGAAAACGTTAAACAAACGGAGCAAAGACAACGAAAACGCCGACGATGATTCACGAGCTACATCGTGGTCTTTGATACGAGGCAACAAAGGGTGTCTAAGCTTTTCTTCGCAATTGATCCGGCAATCCCTGCGAAACAGAAACTTTCCAATTACAACGGTACACGCGACGAACCGTAACATTTACCCAATCGTAAAAATGAAAGGTAAATTGAAATCGCCGATGCGCAGCCACTCCGCTCGCACACGCGAGCGTATCGCAACGAAGAAACAAAGGATTGCCTGATTTCGAGTGCGTAAAAAAATAAAAGAAAGAAACGTCGTGTTTGATGTAAATGTTCGAACAACGAACAGGGGACCGGGAGTATGGGCAAATCGGTTGGTTAGGTTGGCTGCTGAATCCAAGGGGTTGCTATGGCGATGGGACGGTCGTCGCTGTCGGGGAGGGAACAGAGGGCTGTTGCCTGGAGGGTTCGTCTGTCTGGAGCCCTTCTAAAGGGGATGATGTTCTTCGTTCTGTCTGTCTGGACTGCTAGCTGGTAGTTTTGCACCGAGTCAGCTGTTTCGCGGACGTTTCCTCCATAAGCTATCCCTAAAGAACGAATTAACTCACCGCTGCTTGCTTTTTACAACTGTGTAACCCTTCCTCGACATTTTCATCGGATCTTCTTAAGAAAACAACGAGAAATTATTTTACCGTCGTAGATGAGATCGTAGAGGTTCGGCTCGATTCTGCCCGAAATAAGCTGACTTCCAGATGAAAAATATAATTCAGAATTGCGTTAACAGCTGGTTAAAATGCGTAGATTTACGAACACGAGACATCACCGCGATACTATTGCCGGGGAAGGGTTCCCAGAGGTTTAATAAGAAGAAAGTTCTTCCAGTTCTCGTGACAAGTCTCGAGAAATAATAGGCCAATCCTCGCTCTATATTCTCCGAGCTTCCGCAGAGGAAATTTTCGCTCGCTCACTTCCAACTTTCCTCCTCCACTATTTATTAGTCGTTCCTCTGGTCTGTCCAGTTTTTACGACGATATGTATCAACATCTTCGAATAGTCTACCCCTCTGTTAACCTCTACAAATACGGTAGTCGCTATCAGAGTCAATAATTGTCACAGTGCACTTTCAACAGCAGGTGACACGTTTTCCTTAGGTAGTGAAGCATACGGTATCCTTGGGACTGCGCTTCTTTGAAAGCCACCGGGAAAATGGAACGTCTATGTACCCTGGTTTATAAATAGCTACTCTGCGTTGCATCCTTTTTTTTTTTTTATAGATCGCTCTAAGATAAAACGCATTTCGACGAACCATCTCGCGCTAGAAACTTCGATCGATGACAAAACGATTCGTGTTTCGCAGAGAAACAAAGAAGAAACGAATATCTTAGAATTTTTCTAAGCGAATGTAATTTTAAACGCGACTCGTCTTCGTATCTATGAAATACGGACGTTCTGGCGACAACAAGGAACATGGAGATTATACCCTCGTCGGGCGTTGCCAGTTTATTGCGAACAATAAAAGCGGGCTTGTGTTTTTTTTTCTAGAGCTGCGTACTTGTATCGGGGTCACATCGATAGACACACCGCGTGAACAGAACGCGGTTTCACGCCAACGCGACGCGAGCAAGCATTATATTTTTAGTACGCTTTTACAGCAGCCGCCCTATGCTCGGACACCTTGCACGCTGACTTTTTATCACGGTCCAATCGAAACCGCTCGGCCTGCAATCAGAGCTTCGTTAGCAGCCCTTTTATGCGGCCGGTTGACTACAGCGGCTAGACACCACCCACCCCTCCAGTCGATTTACCCCAGCCTGGCATCTACCTTTTTCTTGGACCTGTATCACGCTGTTTTTTTTTCCTTTTATTACTATTTTCTCTCTACATTTTTCCTATTTTTGTTTGCGATTAATTGTAGGCCACTTCGTGACCCATTTCTACGTATTTATTTATGGAAGCAAAGCCTCTCTCATCCAGTTTACTTTGCTGGCCAAAGAAAGCAATGAAAATCGTTGTAAGAAGATTCTACGACAAGGGTAAAGTACGTGACGAAGAAACATACTTGGCGATAATTACGGTCGTTTTATGAGTCAAAGGTATCGCCATGTATACAGCGTAGCGATCACTCGTAGCTTACAAATATTTGTACATTTAATGGAAATTTAAAAGTACAAAATGCATAAATACGTAAGAATATGAAGAACGTAATTAATAGACGAAACAAATCTGTTTACAGGTTTCAGTGAGCTCTGTCGTATTTATAAAACTATCGATTGATATAAACGTTTGTAATTTCGTCGCTACGAGCGATTGCCAGAACGTTTGTATAAAACGAAGATAAAAACATGGTAATTACTATTAGCTGGGTATCCCCCTAATAAACAGAAATTGATTTCTTCGAAGGAAGAATAGAACTCGTAAAGCTGGAGTTTAAAATTCATTTTTCTTTGTTGCCCTAGCCAGAAGCAATTTCACGCTCGGCAAATATCGTCAAGCACTATGCACGTTGTTCCTTTTCGCGTTTCTTTTTGTTCGATCGTCGTGGTAGTTTTTGGCGCGAGCCAGCCGGGATTTTAAGACCGCAATTACCACCCCGAATTAATGGATAACTCGTGTTTGTTCCGTTTGCATGGCCATCCCGCTTCTCGTCGCGTTGGCTGCTTGTTAAAGTACGCAAGAAACAGCTACATTTTCCATTTCGTCTCTCTTTCCTTTCTTTTTTTTTTTTTACCAAAACTACCAACGGTAGATGTGTACGCCGCTTAATTAATTGGAGGGTTCTTCGTATCGTGTCTGAGCCGTGGCTGTCTTTACTACTCGCTGGCACGCAACCAACTCGTGTTTCGTCCTCGAGTGATTACCGACGAATATTTTGTTGACGAATCGGAGAACGCCCGCGAACCTGACGTGCGTTCGAGCTACACGATTCTTCTGCTCGTTAGTATGACGTAACGTAAGGGAAAATTCAATTAGACGATCGTGCGTTTGAATAATTCAGCCGGTTGGTTCCAGGTCCAAGCAAGGGAGCGAAACTTGGATTAATGCGAATGGTTAGACAGCGCAATTTACATAATATTTCAGGTTCATTATCGTGAGTTATGGAAAGGATAGAGTTAGACGGATTATTTACACGGAACGTATTCTCCTCTTTTCTGGGAAATTATATTTCAATGTAAGTTTAGATTAGATACACGTAACGTACGCGATCGTGCGAGCTTCTTAGAATTCTTCGAACCTAGACAGATCCCATCAGGACGTGTGGCGAATCGAACGACGTTTCTCTCACCTCGGTACGAGAAATACATCGACCTTCCGATATTAATAGAATATATGTATCCAGAAATCCGGCGCGACCGAGGAAGCCTCGGAGGATCCATTCGGGTCAGGCAGCCTGGGAAATCCTTTAAAGCCGAGAGATCTCGGTGATTCCATTTCCACGCCGACCTGTTTACCTTCTGCTCGAGACCTCGCACGAGTTCTTCTATTCCTTACGGTCGCGCCTCGAGCGGCTCTTCACCGTGGATCAAGCGTTCCTCGTTTCAACCTGTTTGAATATTCCTCCGGAAACGTATTTAATAATGCGCTGTATTTGCATACTTTAAATAGAACTTTAATCATTTCGGTATACCTCTTAATACAATTTTTACAGAGATCTCCGGTTATGCTTCTTTTTCTTTTCGCCAGTTTCTTTTATATTAGTTCGGAAGATTTGAACTTTGAAAATCGCAATTTTATGGCAGTTATAAAAGTCGACGTTCCTTCGTTTCGCTGCTCGGGCAATAGTCTACGAACGGTCGCCGGTGGAACGTGTTTAATATGTGGAACGACATGCTTGCTTTAATATCGCTGGAAAACTTCCTGGACGCCTGAATGATGAACGCGTGCTGGTAAATTAGCGGGACGAGTCTGCGCCGCGAAACTATTCGCTCCAAGACGCGCGTGCATCTTTAACGCTTCGACCGGGTCACTCGTTCGCGGCTTGCACAGAATCGCGGAAAGTAACTCTGAAATTTCTCTCGCGGAGTCTCAACGACCAGGAACCTTGTAACAGTTTCTCATCCGTGTACGTAGTTCTCGTTTAGAAGGAAAGTGGAACTCGAAGAACACTCGCAGCTGGTCGTTCCCCGAAATAAAACCGCCGAAAATTGACGAGCGAAGCAATCGGGCACGATTAATCGTTTATTCGAGCGAATTGCGAATCGTTGGAAGGGGAAACGTTACGGGAGAAACTAAAATAATTTTCGCGATCGAGGAAGCCTTTAAATTCGCGCTTAGGGTAGATCAATACGCTTTGCTGGCGGCGTGTGGATTCATCTTTTAATAAGCGACGCTTCTTCCCTTCTCTCGCGTTTTCTCGATGACCGGTCAAGAACGCGATGCATTTATCAGGCGAGGTCCGTAAACGTTTCATCGATTTCTCGATATTTTTCCATTTTATATTTCATCGTTGCAGCTGTCTCTTTGTTCTCGCGTTGAACATCGCAGAACAAGATTCTGGATCTTTCCATCGTGTCGTTAGACTCCATTCACCTGGTTGTTAAGTGAAACGTTAATTAGCGCGTGGTTAATCGATGAAACTGCCCCCGATCGTTTCTTCTCGTTCTCTTTTTTTTTTCACCCTCGCCTGGCAAACTTAGTCCACGGTACCGACGATAATCATATCTGTAACACGTTCCCGACCTTGTTTCGGGATAATCCTCCAAACGGTCGCCAAAGGTACGATCCTCCCTACCGAGAAATTGTAATAATCAAAATTCATAACTTTTCGTGGAAACTTTGTAGGTTTGCAGTGGTTTACTTTTAGAAATTTAA